GGCCAGAACTGGCCTGATGTGTCAGGAGCTGGGAGCAGCTGCCAAGGTGCCGGGATGGGAATATGAGCAACTATTTCAGAGAACAGGACAGGGTGGGGAGAGACCGGAGGCACAGCCCGGCAGTCCTGGAAAGATGCTGGCGAGACGCCCCCCACCCCCGCTGCCACCACACCAGGGGCTCGACAGGTGCTCAGGGCCCCACCTCCTTATCTCTAAGATGATGGAACGTGGGAGCCATGGCAGGGTGGGTGTCTGAGGCGGGCAGGTTCACTTTGCAGTGACAGCCAAGCTCAGGCCCAGCCCCAGGGTGTCTCCAAGTGTGCAGGGGGGAGGGGAGGGGAGGGGAGGGAAGAGGCCACGGGTGTTCACAGCTACCCCAGCTGTGCTTTTGGCCAGTGGCAGCAAAAGGGCGATCTGGGGCCGCTGAGCATCTCAGAGACCTCACGAAGGTCACTGTCTCGGGCTTGAGCTTTATGTGCAGTGGACTTGGATAGCGTGAGCCTGAAAATCCAGGGAAAAGGCAGAATGGAAAGCTCCTAAGAAAGGGAGGCCACCAGCTGAGGAGGAGGGCGTGGAGGGCGGGTGGCCCATGGCCGCCTGTCTGTGGCTCCGTCTGCAACTGAGTGGATCCTTGACAGGGTTCTAGAGCCCTTGGCCCACACAACCCCAGCTGAGCTTACTGGAGGCCTGGGGAGTGCTATCTGGAGGGGGCTCCCCAACAGACCAGGTCTGCTGCCTGGGACATGCAGGCAGAGACAAGCTCCCAGCCGTCGACCATGGGTGGTGGGCTCTGTGCACAGGACCTCCGTTTCACAGCTGCCCCCGCCCCCGCTCATGCCCAAGCAGCTCTTTTTATGACGATTGCTGGTGTGGACCCAAGGCCACAGGACCCCGGCTCCCTCTGTACCACTGGAGCCTCTGTACCGACACCTCTCCGATGCCACGGTCACTTCTCCATTTAATAATCCACTGCAAACAGGAAAGTAATGGGATCTAGTCCCCTTCTACCCTTGAGAAGAAACAGACTCAGGCCCAGGTCGCCGTGGCAGGGCCAGTGGAGGGCTGGGGAGGAGCCGGGGAGGGAAGGGCGTCCACCCCTCTTCGTGGCGTTTGAGTCTTCAGCTGGCTCCTGTCTGGGCTTGGAGCCCACCCCCAGCAAGGGACCCCCAGATCCCGAGGCAGATCTACCCTGATGACTTCGCACCCTGGACGTCACATTCTGTGGTCAGAGCTGCTCCCAATTTTGGGTGACAGAGGGTTTGATCATAGCAGCCACTCCCTGTCACCAGAGGACCCTCAGCTGGGCCACATGTCCCCTGAGGAAGGAGGCTCTGGCCATTAAAGGGATCCCAACAGAGGCAGGGCTGTGTGTGCTCCCATGGGGAGCTGGGGCCAGGAGCAGCTTCTCCTCGGCACGGCTGGGGAAGAGCTCAACGGGGGGCGCAGTGCAAAGGCCCTGGAAGCATTTCCAGGAAACTAGCAAAAATGATGTCAGATGAATAGACCGGAGTCTCTCTCCAAGCCCCAGTGATCTGCCATGTTTTACTTTCTCCTGCAGACACTGACGTTGGTAGCTCATTCTGAGTTTGTAACTTGGTTTTCTTTTTCCAAAGTGCCCATGGCCCACCACGGGCAGATTCCCAGCCCTGCCTGCTCGTATCTGGGGACACACGCGTAGCCCCTCAGGCACGCTCCAGGCCGCGCGGACGCTGCCTTCTAACCAGGCCTGGGCAGGGTCCCCCCGCTCCAGGCGTTAACGCTGACGCGTTGAAATAACCTCTCAACGCTCCTGGCACCCGGCACCCCTCGGCTGTCGTGATGCACCTCCGGAAGATTAAATTCAGGCGCAGTTAAACAGATGCAGTGACAAGCCAGCTGCTCCCGGGAGCCCTCTGCGTGGCACACGTGTCTGAGACTCCCACTGTGTGCCACGTTTACTTTCCTGCCGCAGTGCCAGGAGGGGCAGCCTGCAGGGCTCCCAGAGGGCTCTGCCGCTCCTGCTCAAACGTTCGGATGCGAACCTTTCCCCATGAACGCTTGTCCCCTGAGGAGGTGAAGGGAACCAACCTGACCCTCTGGGCCCCATCAGAGACCATCAGCCCTCTGCACTCAGACGATGATTCCCAGAGGCTGACCCCGGCAACGTGCTGACTTGAGAGGAGAGACGAGGACGAGGCCTCGTGAGGATGGAGAGGGGCTCGGGGACAGGGGCTGCCTCTGGGCTCATCTTCTGCCAGATCATCTGAGGACACCTTCGGGGCTGAGATGAGTAGTGCCAGTGGCTGGCAGCCGAGGCGTGCCCCTGTCCCCCACAATCACTGCCCCCCTTGGGCACTTGGATTCCAAACACCCTGGAGCCCTTGGCAGGGCCTGCCTGTGGGGACAGCAATTCTGAAGGAAAACCTCAAATGAGACTTGATTCTACGAACTGTATGCGAAATGAATCCCACAGCTGGAGGTTATGTGGTTCATTTCTGCTCACTTGTACATTTCCACAGCACACTTCATGCCCCTAAGAGCCTGGCCCTGGCTGCCATGACCCTGGGGAACTCAGGCCTAGAGCTCAGCACAGTGGAGAAGGACCCCACGGCGACATGTAGAGAAGGGAAAAAGCAAACCAGGAGCAACTTCGAGTCAGGCCGGTGCCTGCTGACCAGCTAGCTGCTCTGCACCCACCCAACACGTCCTGTCTACACCTCCAGGGCTTGTGAAAGGAGAGCTGCCAACCATCTCTCAGACCACATGGCAGAAGCCGTCTGAGCCGGACCCTGAGACACAGACGCATGAGCACCGAGGACACAGGCCCTGGTGTGGCCTTGGCATCTCAGACACAGCCAGGGTTGCAGGGCAGGAAGTGCAGCGGGATGCGGACGGACATGGATGCCTGGGTGCTGGTTTCCACTCATTTGTTTATTTATTTAAAAGGCACACTGACTGACAGCGGCCTCAAGGCAGGCATGGGGTCCACGCCAGGCAGTTCTCCCCAGCAGGCGGCAGCCCGGGGTTCTGCCTGAGGGAATCACAGTCTGTGGAGCGGGATTCAGTCACAGCCCCCAGAAGCAGGGGGGTGACAGGGAGCCGGGAGCCCCTGTGGGCTGGTGGGGCCAGTCCGTGTGCTCGTGGGGACCTGGAGGGTCACCTTGGAGGCTGTGGCGCTCCTCCGGGAAAGGAGAGATGAGGGAGTCATCGAGAGAGAGGATGGGTGAAGGCTGGTGCCTGGGGTGGGCCTGGGGAACCTGGCCTTCGATGGGCCATGCTGAGGCAGCTGGGGGTGGAGGGTGCTGCTGGGTACCGGGCTGGGGGTCCAGGAGAGACGTCCACGCCGGGCACGGAGCTGAGAGGGGTGCTGGGGCCGGCCGAGGCAGGAACGTGGCTGGTAGGACTGGAGGGCCGGCTGCTGGGTGGGGTGTGGGCAGGGAGGGCAGGAGCAGGTCAGCCTCACCAACTTCATGCTGCAGCACGGTCATGGGGGCTTCCACTCCTGCCTGCGAAGGGCTGGCAGGCTCCCAGCACAGACCCCTTCTACCTCTGAGACGCATGATGTGTGCTAAACTCAGTGCCACGCAAACCCATGGTGGGGCTGCCACGTGCCCAGCACATAAGAAAAAAATTAATGCACTGCTCTGCAAAGCAACCTTCTTTATGAGGCCCAGGTTTTCTTTAAGACATTCAATTTCTGGTCAATCATGCTTGAAGTTTAATTAGAAGACAATCATTATATTTTCAAAAAAAGATACAGTATTTTCTTCTATAAGATACATTGTACCTTGTTCCAAGAACAGGTGTGGGTGGCACAGACAATGTAAATCCCACGGGTCACAGAGTATGAGGCCCTTCCCCATCTGGGCGGGGCTGGGGCTGCCCGTCACCCCTATAGCTCTGTCTCACAGATGCTCTCGGGGTACAGGGACTTTACCGCGAAACCCCAGTATCCACACCTTGAAAGGTATTTCTAGAGCTTGCCTGAGGAAACAGGGAGCGCCGGCAGTGGCAGTTTCGGTTAACCTGGGGATGGGATTCGTGGGCTTTCCTAGGATCTGGTGTATTACAAATGCCGGGTTTAGGGTTTACATTCAGAGAAAACAGAAACCTTTGGAAACACCCTGATTTCACTCAGAGAATGTGGCTGTTTCTGTAATTAGCTCCCAGCATGTGGTTTCCCTCTTAGATGATAGGAATCTCTGGAGTTTTTAGAGAAAAGCAATATAAAAAGACTGTTGACATTAGCTAAGCTTACCCAAAACACAGTAAAACTCAGGATGAAAGCTAACTCCGTCCTCTCCAAGCTGGGAGGCGTGGCCTGAACCCACAAAGGACGCTGCTACTGGTTCGGGGACTCAAAGCACACACTCAATGGTATTTCCTCTAAGAAAACACCCTAAAGGTTAGAAAGGTAAGCTGATTTTTTATTTTTTTTAGTGAAAAGGAACCATTCCCATCATGGGTAAGGGGCAGGTGGGTTGAGGAGGAAGTGCACCGCCTGGATGCCCATGGTCCCAGGAGATGAAACTTCCCCTGAAGAAGTGTCTTGGGGACATCCGCCCAGCACAAAGCTTGCTCACCTTAAAGACCACATCAGGACCACAGGCTGAAAAGCAAGGTTTATTCCTAAAGGCGCCTGCAAAATAGCTATGAACATTTGCCTTTCACCTGAAACAGCTTCAGTACACGACTACACACCAGGACCTCCTGGGTTCTGAGAGCAGAAGAGCCGTGTTCTCCCCTTGGCTGTTATACATTAGCCAAGAAGCACAATAACCGTGACTGAGTGCAACACTGCCCCCCACTCCCCGCAACAGGGACCAAGGAAAATGCAGCCGAAGCTTTCCTTGTCCTTTCCTTTGAAGACAATCGATGACTCAGTCTCACTAATGGGACATCACACAGTTACACGTGCAACACGCCCGCTGCTTTACGGCCAAGTCACCTGCTTCTGTGTCTCTAGAAAAAGCATCCCACATGCTCATTTTCACTGCTTAAGGTTAGAAAGACGGCGTTACCGTTGGCAGGAAGGTAGGTGAAGCGTTGGTACTGGCTTCGCTTTCTCTTCCCGTTGCAGACATAGAAACTGACGTGAACGGGGCTGGTTATCCTCTGATTCCGAAAAGGCGGGATCTCAACCACCAGAGAATTCTAGTAGGGAAACAGCACACAGGAAGCAGACAGTTAGCACAGGGCAAGCAAGGGCTGCCCTGCCACGGAGGCCACACAGCTCCCCCTCATTTCCACGGAGGCCACACAGTTCCCTTGTGTTTTCACGCAGGCCACACAGCTCCCCCGTGTTTCCACGCAGGCCACACAGCTCCCTTGTGTTTCCACGGAGGCCACACAGCTCCAACATGTTTCCACGGAGGCCACACAGCTCCAACATGTTTCCACAGAGGCCACACAGCTCCCCTGTGTTTCCACGCAGGCCACACAGCTCCCTTGTGTTTCCATGGAGGCCACACAGCTCCGTGTTTCCACGCAGGCCACACAGCTCTCTTGTGTTTCCACAGAGCCACACAACTCCCCCGTGTTTCCACAGAGCCACACAGCTCCCCCGTGTTTCCACAGAGCCACACAGCTCCCCCATGTTTCCACAGCAGCACAGGGCTACTATGATGGTTAACTCCAGACCAGCCACCTGGATGGTGCAGAAGCAGCTGCCGACAGCCCTGGACTCTGTGGTGCCTGCATGTGCGTGTGGGCATGCGTCTCCTAGGGAAGAGGCTGCCCTTGACTTTTGGCACACCTTGGGAGTCGAGAGGCTTCCTCAGAGCAGCGGATCGGACTCTTCCTACACTGACAAGATCAACAGCGAGATGGAAATCTTGTCAACGTGGGGAAAGAAGCCCAGAAAACAGAAGCTGTGAACAGAATCGGGACCGTGTGCCTGAGGGTGGAGGCTGCCTGGGGCTACCTGGGCAAGGGGCCTGGCAGGGATGCAAAAGGCTTCTGCTTGTCCAACCCTGAAGGGTTGGTGATCTTCAGAAAACCATCTGAGGCCCCGCTGCCTGCCGCGGTGTGATGGACGTGCCTCGATGGCCCAGCACCTGCCTAGGTAACTGTGGTGGAGCCCCGAGGAACAGGGCTTCCTGGAGACGTAGTCTCCAGGAAGGGCCGGTTTGTCACATCTGACAATGGCTGAAGCCCTCGGTCAGACCCAAATTCACTCCAACTGAGGAAGAGGTGGTGGGCCCTGAACCCACAGACCCTGGGGTGCGAGGAGCCAAGGCATGGAGGCACAGATGGAAGAGGGTGGCGTGTGGTGGCCGCCGGCACCTGTTCATCTTTTTATATAAAAGTCAGCAGCGTGTTTACAAAACCCAGGCTCTTTCAAGAATACACATGAAACATAAGCCATGGGGGTGTGTGGCATGGGGTGTGTGCCACGGGGAGTATGTGGCATGGGGGGTGTGCCATGGGAGTATATGGCATGGGGGTGTGCCATGGGAGTGTGTGGCATGGGGGTGTGGCATGGGGGTGTGCCATGGGAGTGTGTGGCATGGGGGGTGTGGACTCTTTGCAGAGCTCAGGGGCTGGGACACGGGTCTGGCAGCATTACACAGGGCCATAAGGACTCTAAACGACAGGGAGGGGAAGGCATTCCTGCCAAGGGCTGCACTTGGCCTCTGGGGAGAGCCTTGGGGAGTCACATCTATAGTTAATTTTTTAACCGTACGATTTAGTTTAATAAGCAGAAGAAAATCCATTGTGTTACTTCTTTTGTTAAAATAATTAATTACAGCTCAGCACCCAGCTTAATAACCAAATTGATTGAATCATATTAACAACAAAATCTTGGAATGTCAGACAGAAAACTGAAAATAACTTCAGGTCCAAGTTCTTCCATTTACAGATAATGAGACAGCTGAGGCCCAGACGCCCTTGCAGGGGGGCCAAGCCTGCCTGTGACTCCTGGGCCCGTCCCCCAGGACTACCCTTCTTCCCGGCAGCAGGTCTGTTTAATTAACTCTAGTTCATTGGGAAAAAGCCACAGCACATGGGCGTCCTCCTGCCTCTGCCCCTCATCAGAGCTGCCCCAGGAGAGCTGAAGCTGCCGCAGGAGGCCCCGAGCCCTTCAACGCTGGCGGGGCCTGGGCTGCCCCAGGGCTGCCCCCCAAGCACTGTGGGTCTGGCTTCCCCGGCCTGGCCATCTCCTGGGCTGACCCCGGAAGCCCCAGCTGTCTGGAGCCAGTCTCGGCATTCCTATCGGGGGATAAAGAGACGCTTCTCCCGGGACTGTCTGCTCTGGAGTCAGCAGCTACAGCAGGAGGGTCTTTAGAACAGAAACAGCTAAGGGAAGAGACAAAGGAAGCAGAGACTGAAATAAAAATGGGATGGGAGGCATTCTCAGGCAGCAGCGAGCGGGCAGAGGCGGACTGTGGGGCAGGCTGAGATGGGTGGAGGGGGGACCCTGTGGGGCATGCTGGACAGGTGGAGGCAGAGACCCTGCTGAGATGGGTGGAGGGGGGACCCTGTGGGGCATGCTGGACAGGTGGAGGCAGAGACCCTGCTGAGATGGGTGGAGGGGGGACCCTGTGGGGCATGCTGGACAGGTGGAGGCAGAGACCCCGCTGAGATGGGTGGAGGGGGACCCTGTGGGGCAAGCTGGACAGGTGGAGGCAGAGACCCTGCTGAGATGGGTGGAGGGGAGACCCTGTGGGGCAAGCTGGACAGGTGGAGGCAGAGACCCCGCTGAGATGGGTGGAGGGGGACCCTGTGGGGCAAGCTGAACGGTGGAGGCAGAGACCCCGCTGAGATGGGTGGAAGTGGGGACCCTGTGGGGCAAGCTAGACAGGTGGAGGCAGAGACCCCGCTGAGATGGGTGGAGGGGAGACCCTGTGGGGCAAGCTGGACGGTGGAGGCTGAGACCCCGCTGAGATGGGTGCAGGGGAGACCCTGTGAGGCAAGCTGGACGGTGGAGGGAGAGACCCCGCTGAGATGGGTGGAAGTGGGGACCCTGTGGGGCAAGCTGGACGGTGGAGGCAGGGACCCCGCTGAGATGGGTGGAGGGGGGACCCTGTGGGGCAAGCTGGACGGTGGAGGCAGAGACCCCGCTGAGATGAGTGGAGGTGGGGACCCTGTGGGGCAAGCTGGACGGTGGAGGCAGGGACCCCGCTGAGATGGGTGGAGGTGGGGACCCTGTGGGGAAAGCTGGACGGTGGAGGCAGGGACCCTGCTGAGATGGGTGGAGGGGGGACCCTGTGGGGCAAGCTGAATGGTGGAGGCAGAGACCCCGCTGAGATGGGTGGAGGGGAGACCCTGTGGGGCAAGCTGAACGGTGGAGGCAGAGACCCCGTTGAGATGGGTGGAGGGGGACCCTGTGGGGCAAGCTGGACAGGTGGAGGCAGAGACCCTGCTGAGATGGGTGGAGGGGAGACCCTGTGGGGCAAGCTGGACAGGTGGAGGCAGAGACCCCGCTGAGATGGGTGGAGGGGGACCCTGTGGGGCAAGCTGAACGGTGGAGGCAGAGACCCCGCTGAGATGGGTGGAAGTGGGGACCCTGTGGGGCAAGCTAGACAGGTGGAGGCAGAGACCCCGCTGAGATGGGTGGAGGGGAGACCCTGTGGGGCAAGCTGGACGGTGGAGGCTGAGACCCCGCTGAGATGGGTGCAGGGGAGACCCTGTGAGGCAAGCTGGACGGTGGAGGGAGAGACCCCGCTGAGATGGGTGGAAGTGGGGACCCTGTGGGGCAAGCTGGACGGTGGAGGCAGGGACCCCGCTGAGATGGGTGGAGGGGGGACCCTGTGGGGCAAGCTGGACGGTGGAGGCAGAGACCCCGCTGAGATGAGTGGAGGTGGGGACCCTGTGGGGCAAGCTGGACGGTGGAGGCAGGGACCCCGCTGAGATGGGTGGAGGTGGGGACCCTGTGGGGAAAGCTGGACGGTGGAGGCAGGGACCCTGCTGAGATGGGTGGAGGGGGGACCCTGTGGGGCAAGCTGAATGGTGGAGGCAGAGACCCCGCTGAGATGGGTGGAGGGGAGACCCTGTGGGGCAAGCTGAACGGTGGAGGCAGAGACCCCGTTGAGATGGGTGGAGGGGAGACCCTGTGGGGCAAGCTGGACAGGTGGAGGCAGAGACCCCGCTGAGATGGGTGTAGGAGGGGGCCAGGTGGGGCAGGCTGGATGGGGGGGCAGTGACCCTGTGGGGCAGGTGGAGGCGGGACTCCATGGGGCAGGCTGGACGTTTCGTACCAGTTTTGCTGGGTCCTACCTGACAAAAGTACGAGCTCCCTGGGAGCACTGTCCCTTAATTACACAGAGGGTGCCACAGAGCAGCAGCACTGAAGAAGCGGACAGGAGAGGGAAACTGGTCCACACCGGAAAAACCGCGGGCTCCAAACGGCACCTGCACCCATGAGACCTGCCTTAAAACTCCACTGCTGGGATTAAGCTCATCAGTCAGCTACAGAAAGTTCAAACACCATCTACACTGCACCTCCCATTTTGTTTAAAGCACACACACAGGCCGGGCCCAGTGGCTCACGCCTGTAATCCCAGCACTTTGGGAGGCCAAGGCAGGAGGACAGCTTGAGCCCAGGAGTTTAAGGCCAGCCCGGGGAACACGCACGTCCCCATCTCCACAAAAAATTTAAAAATTAGCTGGGCAGGGTAAGGAACACCTGTGCTCCCAGCTACTGGGGAGGCTGAGGCATGAGGATTGCTTGAGCCCAGAAGGTCGAGGCTGCAGTGAGCAGTGATCAAGCCACCGTATTCCAGCTCGGACGGCAGAGCCAGACCCTCTCTCAAAAATAAATATACATATACACACGCACGCACGCACAATTGAATGTATGCAATGTGTGTGGGCACGTAAACATCTACGCATACAGCGGCACATGGGCAGGAAGCATGCGCGGTGCCCGCAGGGTTATATCTAAGTGGTGAGATGACATGTTTTGTTTTTTATATCGTCCAAATGTCCATGATGACTATGAATTTCCTTTATGGTGAGAAAAAAAATTTACTAAAGGAAACTTCATTTAAGAGATTAAAAATGAAACAGGCCAGACGCGATGGCTCATGCCTGTAATCCCAGCACTTTGGGAGGCTGAGGCGAGCGGATGACCTGAGATCAGGAGTTTAAGACCAGCCCGGACAACATGGCAAAACCCTGTCTCTACTAAAAATACAAAAAAATGAGCCGGGAGCAGTGGTGGGCGCCTGTAGTCCCAGCCACTCGGGTGGCTGAGGCACAAGAATCGCTTGAACTCGGGAGGCGAAGGCTACTTCAATCTGGGTGACAGAGTGAGACTGTCTAAAAAGAATAAACAGTGAACTTCAAGTACATAACTTTTCACATGTGCTCTGAAGTCTGTTTTTAAAACATACAGCTCTTTAGCATCCTTCAAAACATGCCAGTGTCAAAAGTAAGAAAATCACAGAGAATGTGGATATTGGCTTGGCTGGAACTGTTTGCAATGTGGAAAGGCTCATGGCTCCTCCTGGCTGCTCTGCCCAGGGTGGGCCGGGCAGCGCAGCTCCTGCGTCCAGCGTCCTGCGTCCCGCATGCATGTGCGGGGCTGGTAAAGCCTGTGGAGACCCTGACAGACCCAGAGCCAGGGAGGCTGGGCGGCACGAGGCCCACACTGCCCACAGGCAGAGGGGTTGGAGAGCCCAGGTGTCAGTGCCCAGCACTGACACACAGCAGAACGAGAGCAGGCCGGTAGGGAGAGGACGAATCCACAGACATGGTGGGTGGGGAGACCGGGCACTGACCCTATGAACAGAGGCTGCCAGCCCCCTGGGCACTGCCCACCGCAAGCCCAGGCAGCAGCAAATGCCCGGCCAGCGGGCCGTCGTGGACCTTATGGACACAGAACAGGCCACAGAAGGAGAGGACAGTGCAGCGGCTCAGGCTGCCTCTGCCTGTGGGTGGCCATTCCCAGGACCCACCCCGCAGCTCTGCGGGCAATGGGTGTGTAGACCAGAACTCCTTCATCTGAGCGTCGGCCTGCCCGGGGCCTCCAGCTTTCCCCAAGGGGCTTCTCAGGTGAAGGCAAGAAAAGGAACAGGCTTGAACTGGAGCCCCATGAGCACCAGAAGCTTCAGGGGAGGCCTGGGCACAACCGAGGTGCAGGCGAGCTCACCGGGGAATGCCGGCTTCGCCCAGGGCCAGGGAGGAGGCTCTTCCATCTGAAACCACGAGGAAAGGGTTCTGGGAAGGGAAGAGTCCTTGAGGAAGGGCGCTGGAGTGGCCGCAGGGTGGAAGGCGCTGCTCTCTGACAGAGTCGCCTCTCGGGACAGGGAGTGAAGGTGCCAGCACTGCTCTCCATAGAGACCCCTCCCACCAAGAGACAACCTGGACACCCCTCCCCAGTGTCCTGTCCACCTGCCTCCAGCCATCCGAGATTGGCTCCCCCAAGGTTTCCCAATGGCTTGGCTTCCACCTGCACGTGCTGAGTGTCTGCACGAGACTTCACTGGCCCCACCCCGGGGCAAACGCTGCTGAGCTCTGGAGGCCCTGAATGTCTTCAAAACCCCCTTGGGGGCCATGCGGTATCTTATGTCGGTTGGCCTAAAGATTTCCACGACGTTTATAGGACTAAATAGAACACTCAGAAAATTCCATGTAGGATTCGATGCAACTGTATCAATAACACCAGGCCCTGCGCGGTGGCTCAGGTCTGTCCCTCCAGCACCTGCGGATCACCTGAGGTCAGGAATTCAAGAGCAGGCCAACCAACGTGAAGAAACCCCTTCCCTACTAAAAGTACAAATTAGCTGGGTGTGGTGACATCATCCTGTCATCCCAGCCCCTCAGGAGGCTGAGGCAGAAGAATCGATGATGGAACCTGGGAGGCGGAGGCTGCAGTGAGCAGAGATTGTGTCACTGCACTCCAGCCTGAGCAACAGGAGCAAAACTCCATCTCCAAAAAACAAAAACATAACAAAACAAAACACCACAATCCATGGTCTACATGTGACAGCCTGAGAGCAGATCAAAAGACACCACTTTAAACGTGAACACGCAGCTCACGAGCACAGGGATGGGGGACACGTAGCAGCCGACACTGTCGGGAGACGCAGGAACATCTACGGCCGTCCAGACTAAAGGTTGCCTCCACGACTGACCGATCAAGAAGGGGCATTATTCTCAGGCACCCACTGTGTGCAAGTGGTACCTGGAAGCTGTGGCAGGTGACCGGGGGCGGGGGGGGTCTGCAAACGCCCTGGTGACAGCAGAGGCATGACCTGGCCACGTTTCTGCCACGACCCCACACACACGCACTGCCCGCTGGCATGCTGTGGCCAATCGTGAGTCCAGGAGCTGCGCCCAGGCCCACTCTCATGCCTGCGTCACCGTCACAGGGGAGGCTGGTGCAGCAGGCAGCCTCAGGGAGGACGGGGTGAGGAGTCCCAGCTGGGGATGCTGCAGAGCCCTGCGCTGGTGTTGTGAATGTTTCTAGGCAGGTGTGGCCACCCCCCAGGCGTGTCCAGGAGCTCAGGATGGCACTGACTCCCAGGCCCCCTCCATGCCGGGTGATGGAGATGGCAAGGGGACAGCAAAGGGTGGAGGGTCCGTGTGGGGCAACCTTCCCCGGGCTGTGACCCTTACGCTTTGGCTAACATCACTCGGTGCTTCAGCAAGCACAGGTGATCCTGCCCCCGGTTCTGTTACTCTGCACATTATTCTCATTTGTTTCATTTTAACAAACAGGAACACCAGTCTCCCGAGGCCCCCGGGACCAAAGGCACTCACCGGCTTGTACAGGTCACGGTCGGTTTTTGCTTCCACCTCCCAGACGTGGTGGCCATCTGCAAGAAAGGATCAGGAAACGTCTGTGACTGTGTGGCGGGGAGCCCCTCCCCCAGAAGCCCCACGTGATGCAGACCCAGGGCCCTGAGCCAGGAGAGCACCTAGTCCCAGGAGACCCACATATGCCCAGCCCAGGGCTTTCATCGAGAGCAGCACCTCAGGAGCCACAAGCCCCGGCCAGGCCCCAAACTCAATGCCAAAGTTCCTCTGTGAGCTGGAGAGGCCAAGGACATGCAGCTCAGGGCTTGTTCTGACCCCAGGCCAGGATGGGAAGGACTCCAGGGCAGGGGTGTCCTCGGGAATCCATCCTGGCCCCGTGTCTGCCGGACTGTCTCAGTCCTGGGACAGGTCTCAGGAGGCTCTCTACACCACGTCCTCTCGGGGAGGGCAGGGTGAGGAGGAGCAGGTTCCCCATCAGCAGAGCGCATGTCTGCGTGGACCCGAGCCCAGCTCTGCACCTGGCTCTGGAGTCCCCGGCCCAGCCTCCCAGGGCAAAGGAGGCGTGAGGATGATGACACGGTGCCAGGGTGCGCCGCCTGCTCATGCTCCCGGCACTTGGGGAGCAGAAGCATCTCTGGCAGGCGAGGGCCTGGTTGCTGGCCCCCTGGTGATGAGAAAGGCTTCCTCTGACAACTTGGTGCACATCAGGAGGCAGAAATGCAAAACAGGCGGTATTTTTAGCCTTTCCCCAGTGGCCATTTGCATGTTTTTAAAGAATAAAAAGGCTCCCAGAGGTGCAGTGAAAGGACATGCTGTTCTCTCCCCTCCATGCCCGGTGGAGCAGGGGCTCCAGGCACGCGGACAGAGGTGGCCGCGACGCAGCCTGTGTGTGTGCACGGCCCGGCCCCCCTCAGACAGGCTGAGTTTGGGGCAATTATCTTGAATTAACGGATGTCAATTTCCTACAGTCTCTTCCTCTCTTTTATCTTCTCCAACATAGTCTGTTCCCAAAATGAACAGTTGCAGGTATCGACACTCAAGTTTATCCTTGTGCTGTCTGCAAGGAAGAAAACGTGTGTCTGTTGCAAACCCTGAATTACTGACAAGTCAGACAAAGTCCCCTTTTCTCTGTCACAGTGCCGGGCTGCTGCCGGATGGAGGCTGGAGAGAGGAAATGTGAGTCACCTTTGCAGGACCAGAGCCGCCCAGCTGAGTCCGGCCACGCCAGCCTTGGGACGCCCGAGGCCCCCACGAAAATTACCCACCAGATGGACCCACTCCACAGAGCCAGGCGGACCAGCATCCAGCTCTCCTCTAGGAAAGAAACAGCAAGAAACTAAAAATACTCGGTAGCGCTTGAGGGCACCGGCCTTTCTTGAAGCAAGTCCTCCAGGCTCTGGAGAGCTCAGGAGCCTGGGGGCCAGAGGCGTGTTCACTCCAGCACAGGGGCTGGTGGCGGGGCTCCCAGAAGCCCCCAGCGCAGCAGGAGCCCCCACCCCCACTGCATGAAAATCCAATCATCTTTGTGTAACCAAGTCTTCTGGTTTCTTGGTACCTTTTTAAAACAACTTTTGAAGTTTGCTTACAATAAAGCCCATCTGTGGGGTGAGGCCCCGTCCCTACCCCACAAAAGCCTGTGTCCTTGGACCCTCCTGGGCACACCTGGCTGTGGCTTGGTCTCTGCTCTGCTGGAGAAGCTGACAGTCACAGCTTGTTTCCATAGGAACTTCCCTGAGGCTGCGCAGGCCTTTGGTACTGGGAAGGGGAGGGAGGGTCAGTGCCTGCGTTGAGCAGCAGGAGGGAAACTGAGGCACACACAGGGCCAGAATGTCATATTTCACGACACCCTGAGGAGACGCCATTTTTGCAGCAGAGGCCAATACAACCTCCTCCTGTTTATGTCCTGAGAAGTGAGAGGGACTCCAGTTGTCTACCCTGTGGCCTCCTCCAGCCGTCTATCCCACGGCCCCCTCCAGGCCTCTACCCTTGACCTCCTCTAGGCATCTAACCCTTGGCCTCCTCTAGGCCTCTACCTCCCGGCCTCCTCCGGCCGTCTAACCCTCGGCCTCTTCCAGACGTCTTCCCAAAGCAGTGAGTCCGTGAAAAAGCAAATGGAGGGACGGCATGGGGCCATCTTTCTCCTTCCATGCCTTTTGGGAGCCCATCCACGTGGCCGGCCAGGCCCAGCTCAGCACCTGCCACGGAGCTGAGCCCGCCCCACACCCTGTCTGGGAGCACTCACGCCCAGCACTGCTGTGCAAGGTAGGAGCAGAGGTGCTTAGATGTCCCCTCAAAGTGTGGGGAACCGACACATCCCGACCATCCTCGGAGATGCGGCTGAGCCAGCGCCTGTACCTTCCCCCCATCTCAGAGGCAGTCTCTCTCCCTGCAGCCTCCGACGTCCATGACCATTTCACAGCCAACCAGGGTGAAGGCGAGGGCAAGGGCAAGCTTTCTGTTTCTGCTTAAGGATCATAAAGACATCGTCTTTCAAAAGTAGTATATGTTTGTGGCCAGAAATGTCTGTCTAGCAATTGCTTCAGGAACAGACAAGGGGCTGAGGTTGTTTACAGATGGGAAGAGCCACACATCTCAGGAAAGGAGGCGCACAGGTCCGTGTCCTGCTGCTCTCGAGAGCACCATCTCAGCGGCTCCGCACTCCCCAGAGGCCCGGGGAGCAGGGCTGGCCCCCCGCGCTGTTCCAAACTCAGCCTCTGGCAGGAAGGCAGGCAGCTGGCCCTGAAAGGGCCTTTGTGTTCAGCCTTATCAGTGCTCCGAGTCCTCAGGAGGAAACCACGCCGAGTGCAGGAGTAAAAATATTCCAGATCATTAGGGAATTCCCTGCAGCCTGAGTCATCGGGAGGCTTCCCTGCCATGCCCTCAAGGTTTCCACACAGGCAGGCTGGCCAGCCCAGGAGCCTCCCAGACCGGCCAGGACCCGCAGCCCAGCCGGGCCACCCCCACACCAGCACTGACACTGAGCCACTGTTTCCACAGAGAAAGCCATGAGGGCCGCTGCTGGCGGCAGCAGTGTCCCGGGTCCCATGCCACCCTCGGGTGCTGGGTCCTGCATCCTCGTTTTGGGCACCCTGCAGTGTCCTTGTGCCTGAGGTGAGTGTCCCTGGGTGTCTGTCATCCACCCCTGGCTCTCCCTACGTGTCTGTCCCAGCCTGGCTCCCAGAGGAGATTTGGATAGGAAATAGCCACCCAGCCACACACGGAGTCACCCTGTGACCCAGCCCTTCCACGCCAAGGCCACACTGAGGCACATGCTCAGGAGATGGCATGTGTCCACAAGGGCCTCATGTACCAAAGTTCACAGCGGCCTTTCCACAATCATCTCCACAGGGTGGATATGGCCGGCACCAAGGACAGACGGGTATGGGCAGCCACACATGGGCTTCACTCAGCCAGAAAAGACAGCATGCTCTGACCCATGCCAATGAGAGAACCTGAAGGGTGCCACGCCCTGGCCGCACATCAACACCGGACAGCAGAGGACTCCACGCTCTGTGGGAGCTTCAGGCCCCGCAGCTAGCAGGTTGGGCTCCCTGGGAGGGAGCAGCCAGACCACGTGAGACCACGGCGAGGGGGATGCAGTTGCTGGGGCTGGGGTGGGGAAGGGAGAGTGGGGTGGCTGCTCAGGGGCAAAGGTTTCCTTCTGGCTAAAGGAAAACGTTCTGAAATTGGTAGTGGCGGCGTAATTCTGTGAGGCTCCCACAACCCACTGACCTCCACGCTTTGGGTAAATTAAATGGTGCATAGATCGTATCTCAATAAAGCTGATATATAAGAGAAATTCGCCGACATGATCACGGTGATACTGTCATGTATGATCCCAAAACGCCTGAGAAGGAAGAGGAGGAAGGGGACAGATGTGATGTGTGGCCTCCCCACCACAGCAGGCCCTAGGCAGGGGGATTCTGGGATGAAACACAGCCACTCGCTGGGGCAGCGGGCTTTCTGGATGCCCAGGAGCGGGGCTGAGCCTGGGGGGGGGGTCCGGGGCAGGTACAGTCGGGGGGTAAGCTGGGACAACTCCACTGTGGCCCAGGAGCTCCCACATGCCTGGGAGTGCTCAGCCAGGGGGCTTCACTGTTCACCAGAGACCCGCCTCGGCAGGGAAGGCCAGGCCCTCAGGCCCTGCCTGTGCCTCTGCTGGGGAAGAAATGTCCCTGCACCACGGCAGTGGAGCTGAGCACCCCGGATGGCAGCCGCAGTCTCCCCTCACCGCCATGCTGATGGCTCCGTTTGGCGGCTCTGACTTCCAAAGTTGCCAGAGCCCCACGGTAGGGGAGGGCAGGGTCAACGGGTGACTCCCTGGGGTCCTGGGCAAAGCTGTGTCCCAGCAGCACTTGAGAAGTGGATGCGGCTCAGCCCTTGCACCACAGAGCTGGGAGGACACCAGCTGCTGGCCCCACGCCTCGGTGCCCTGTGTGGCCGGGGATGCCCGTGACCAAGCTCTTGAACAGAGGAGTCCCCATCAGAACAAGGCCTCTTTCCCAGCTCACAGCCCTAACATGACTCAGAATGAGCTTGATGAGAACTGTGGGGTCACCACTCAGTTCTAGGGTCCTGGGTCATCTCACGGCATGGCTGGGAGATGTGTCTGCCCCAGGCACCGCCCTCCGTGCCTTTCCTGTGTGGGCTCTGGAGGTGAACAGAGAAGCCTGGGGGTCTGCCTGGCCATCCTCCCTGCTCCTGAAGCTGCCCCGACTCAGCTCTGTGTTGGAACAAGCGGTGACAGTGACGTCGGACCCAGCATTGTCGCCTCCTCCCTGAAAACACAAATTTGGAAGATCTGCACTTGGCCTTTGATGCTCCTGAAGTGCCGCTGTCACCATGCGCTGGCATCTGAATTCTTCAGGAGGCTGAGAGCTGAGCTGCTCCGTACAGCGGGGCTGCCTGTGCCGTGGACGCTGGAGCTGGGAGTTCCCTGCTGTGTCCCCTCTGCTCATCCAGCCCCATCAGAAGGCCCACCGCAGAGACCAGAGGGCCTGCCATGGAAGCAGCCATCCCTGCGCCCATCTGCCTCAGCCTACACCACGCAGAACAAAAA